TTGATATAGCACCTCCTTTCTCTGGTACCATAATGGGTATGGGAAACACGATATCTTGCCTGGCTGGGATCGTCTCACCCATGGTGACGTCGGCCCTGACCCCGAATGTGCGTGTAGTAAAGAAGAATTTTCATATTTCTTTCTCATCCTTGGTTTTTAGGGAACGCAGGAGGAATGGCAGAGTGTTTTATGGGTGACAGCCGCCATATTAGGTATTGGCACTCTAATCTTTACTTTGTTTGCCAGCGGTGAGGTCCAGGATTGGGCAAAACTCAAAGGAGGTGACATCGCGGAAGAGCTTCCGCTCAAAGAAGCTGATGCAGTGCTTGAGAAGGAGACGCGCTAAATACTGTTTCTAGGACATCAGTCTTTATTATTTTAATTTTCATTGTAATGAGGACGTAGATGTCAGTTTGTTAGAGCACGGAAAATTTTATGTGTCTAGTGCAACATCATGTTGTTCTAATTTAGCAACGAGATAACTTTCTTTAGTTTATTTATTATTCAAGTATATATTTATTATCAGCATCAATCTGAGCATCCCCTATTGCCAAATCAAATTTTCAGCGAAGTCCAACTTGCTACCCATTGCTGTTGCTTTCTTCATCATTGATTCAAATTTATATGAGTTTTTTTTGTATCATGTTGTACTCGCTATCTATCATATCACTGATTTTATGCAAAAAGCGATCAAATCGTTTTCAGCTGGCATGATTCAGACTATTCCTTTGCGCACTCCTTGTTTTTGTCATTTTATAGATAGGGCGAGCCTTTGAAAAAGATAGATCAATGTTAATGTTTGTTGGATAGAAAAAATGAAGTTTCTCTCATGGCGTTAATGTTGACTTTTTTTCAAATCTTGTAAGTTTTTCATTGTTGCACCTAAGAATTTTTTGAAAGATGCAGGTAGAATATCTTATGTTCACATGCTTCTTGGTATCGTGTGAGATCTGCTTGTGTGAAATTTGCGGAGGCAGATGGTTATAGTGGACTGCTATAATTTTTCTTTTATCGTCAAATTTTGCAGGTGAGGTACCAAATTTTCTACAAGTTGGACTCTTGAACTTCTCCAAAGTAAGTTCTTTCTGCCATGCAGGTACTCTTTGTACTTTATCTATACGAATTGCAGAGAAAATTGTGTGCACACCTTAATTATCAGCAGCACTAAGTTATCTATCGTTCCATCACAGGTTTTGAACTTACCTGATTTGTTGGAAAAGTAGAGCAAAAAAGTAGAAGATTTGAATTGGTGGTTTCTGTTTCAAACTTTGACATTGTGTGCTTGGATGGCCTTTGCCTTCCCGAAAAGAAGTGTTTGTGAACGCTCACAATCCGTTCTTGACTCGCATCCCATAGACTTGCGGCAATGTGCTCCATGACGAAAACTTGCCATTTTGAGCCATCTTAAACCAATTTCTTGTACAGCTCCTAATAGCGTAATTTTGTGACATCCAATCGACTTATAGTTTGTAGAATAAATAAAGTAACAACCCGCAGCATTTAAGGAGTCCATCGATCATCACGGAAGAAATGCTAGTTTGTAAGAGTGCTGATGATCATCATTTTCTAAAACAGCTTTAGCAATTTATAATAGCAATAAATTGCTAAAGCTGTTTGAAAAAGGCTATGATCACTCAAGAAATTTTGACGATCTTGAAACGTTGGCATGAATGATTTGAACTTGATGTTTTTTCCACATCTCTGCCACATCACATATACTACTGTCCTCAGTGACCGTGCTTAGTGTTATGTTGACTCACCAGTGTTCCACAGAGCTTGCAGATGCTAGCTCACTTGACTTCCTACTGCCTACCATAGCAAAGATTGAGCGGTGCAAATGACTTGCACGCGCTTAAGTAGTCGTGGACAATCCCTAGCTCACAGAATGATAAAAACGGGCATACTTCTTTCGTTATAGACAATTACACGTTCTGCTGTTCATTTTAGGGTTACGCGCAAAAATTTGTGAAGTCTTTAATGCTTTTCGAGCAGAAATATGCTCTTCAAGCGTCAGGATGCTGCATTCAATATCAAAATCGTCTTCGTCGTAGGCTTCCATTCTGCGCTTCCTTCCCTTCCGGAAACAACTAATTTGCTTCTGCTACACATGATCATAGCTGTGAACTCTGTGGTACCTAATTCCTACCAATGTATGTTGTAGAAGCTCTACGTAACCAGCAGGCTCATCATCCGCCAAGACAATTTTGAGAGGTTGAACACAATATTCCAGGATTCTTTGCCTGGACCGACACCTGTTTCACATGGTAGTAAGAGAGCGCGCTCGTCAATATGCTAGAGCCGAGGAAACAATTTGGGTAAGAATAGCTCAACCTCTAGCTATGCAGCATAATTTTTTAGTTCATCAACATGCAAAAATGGGAAACAGATAGATTCCACTAAACATGCTTAGAGCCCTGTTGAGAAAGAAGGCTCGGGGCCGTTTTTCAAAACCTAGCGTATAAAGTTCGTTTCGAAGGGGATAATTGACTTCTCTGGCTTTCTCAATAGACGTCAGTTGGGAGCACGTGAAAGCATTGTAATAGCCACTGTAATGCAACAGAAATAGAAAGCAAATTAGCTTTTTTTTGTAATTGTTCGAAATTATAGTGTAGCATAATGAAGACCTGCAGTAGGGATAATTTTGACTCTGAATTCGGTAAAACAGCAGATTCTTAAATCCACCTATCTCATGCAGTTTTGAAATCGTGAGGATTTAAAGCACTGGAATGCAATGCATCTTAAATCGTTTTTCAAGAAGGAATTTTAGATTTTGATATGGTAATATCGAAACTGATAAAACGCTTTTCTTCTACTTTTCAGGTATGAAGGTTACGCAAAGCTCAATAGGTCTTGTGATATTTAAGTTCCGGTGGCACTACCCTTTTAGGGAACATGTGGAATAACAGCGGTTCGTGAAATCTTTCTATATTTCTTCGTCTCTTCTTTTGATCGTAGGTAGCTTGAGCAAAGACGTAATTATGCTGATCTTTTCAATTATACACATTATGCTGAGAGGAAATACTGAGATTCCGTTTTACAGCATCATTAGTAAATAGCCCTTAATCTTGTTCAACAGGCGAAGAAAAAAGAATGTGGCTAAAAAGGTGTTGAAGAATAGGAGGCACGAGAACGAAAATGCGGATATCATCCTTGCAAACAATTCTTTTGTTGCTTCTCAAGTCTCATCCGGGAAGTGCAAGTAATGAGGTTGATATATTTAGACCAAGTATTAATAGACTCAAACTGTGATTTATCATTCCGTTTACTTTCTGGTCACTTGTTCCTCTTTTTCGAAACGACTTAAAAAGCGACAATTGCGAAGGCAGATCGCAAAATGAATTATGAGGTTCAGAACAAAACTTCTGCACACAACCATTTTTTCG